ACTTACTGATCGGGAATTACACCCACGATATCGATTTGATACTCGCCCTTGAGATTCATGAGATAGGAGGCAATGCAACCGCCAATCATAATAAACAGATATATAGGGAAAGGGAGCTTAAGACCCATCCGCTGGAACTGATGCTCAATGACCAACTTGAAAAATAGCAATATAGATATGCAAATGATTGAGATGATAAACGCGGTCAGATTGACCTCTTTGATCTTCTCAAAGAACTCAATGTAAGTCTTGGGCACCACTAGTATACCCGTCCGGTTTGCCAAACCCACGCCAAACAGATAATGCACTTGAGTTGTGAACACATGAATGGCCGCCGATGTCATGAAACCGCCGACCAATTCGTCGGATAAGTAATTACTTATGAAACCCAAGCGCAAAATGCCCATGATGAATATATAGATACCGATAATTATGGATATCATGACCGCTATATCTATTGTTTGAATGCCTTCAAAGCCCGGCAACACATCTGAATTATCGTTCGTAATGTGATTTAAATTGATATCGTTTGAGACGTCGACTATAATATTGGAGGTCATAAGTCCGGCCACAATAGCCACCGGACCCACAGAGCTGTGAAACGATGTGCCGAGTATTGTATACATTAGTGGCGGAAAGAATGCAGTGTAGAGGCCGTAGATTGGGTTTACGTCCGCTATTAAGGCATAACCCATACCTAAACAAAATAATATGTGAATTAAATTTTTTAAAAATGGTGTGATTTTCATTCGTAAATACTTTGCGGCACTTGAAATGAGGCAATTGTAATGCCGACTATTATATCGGCGATCAAATTGTGTTTATAGTTATAGTTCGGAAGCCATACAGAGATTGGGAAAAATTTCTTCAGCCGATGGATCCACGCTTTGCGAGAGAAGTCTGGCGCCAGTCGTTTCATCTTTTCTTTCGTTGTCTTTTGTTTTTCATTAGGAATAAAACTATTGTTGAATTCTTCGACATTAAATATGGGACGAGTGATACTGAGCGACGGCGACGGGGGTCTGAAACCGGGAACGGCCGGCGGTGTCAATACACTTCTCAATAAACCCGATTGTTTGATCTTTCGGGTGATGTTTGGAGAGTTGGGAAGCGATCCCCCGTTCATACCGTTCACATAATTAGGCAATGAAATGGCCGAAGACAACGGCTTCTTGTTGTAAAATGTGGACGGATTACCATTTGATGGGTCTTTATGGCAATCGTCGTCCATATTGATGGGCACATCACTGGACGGATCGTCTGCCATATGATAGGGCATGTCGTTTGGCACATGATTTATAATTATGGGCGGACTATCCAAGTCCTCATTATTGTAATTATCATTAATGTCTTTGTTGTCCATTTGTCAACTAATTTCTAACTCGACTAAACTTTTTAACATTTGTGTTAGAAATGGTATTTAAAAACTTTATTATTTTGCAAGTATACCGCTATTTAACCAGTTTTGGATTGTAATTTTTGATACTTTAAAATTATATCAATATTTATTGGGCTTATTATCTCTGCATTTATTATTTTATTGCATATTTCAATGTAATTGTTATAAAACTTATCATTTTATTAAACACTAATTGTTTACGCAGTAAAACTAATTTATGTAATTATTATAAGGTATTTAGCCATTGAAGCTAATGATGAAGTTTTAATAAACAAATAAATTTTATGGAGATTTTATTTTTGTTTTCCTAAAGTTTGTTTTATAATAAAATAATTATAAATAATTTAATTTCCGAGAATTATTGTCAATGGAAATATTCAGGATTTTAACATCACATCAATATTTACGATAACCTATTGAGAAATGATATGACATGATAAATTATCAATGATAATAAAACATATCATAAGATGTGTGTTTTTATCACTATTTCGGACCACTATTTCTTAATTATATCGTAAAATATAATCAAATCTTGTTTTCAAATCTAATAAATTATCTTAATATAGACTTTATTTGTTCAGTACATGAGTTTAACTGTAAATTCAATAGTATTTATCATCAAAATGTTTTTCACTGCCAATGAATTTGTTAGACTGAACTTCAAACGGGACGGTTATCTCCTTAAAAGCACATAATTATTATAATAATAATTGTTAAAATAAATTGCAATAAAATCTATTATAAATCTCGGTCTTATAGGAAATGCTTTAGTGTTAATGATAAGAGATCATAATGAAATCAGAATATACAGAATGTATAGTACAGTATAATTTCAAATTGAATATATTGTCATATTACTATGATTCAAATATTTATATTGAATTTTAATGTTGACTTACAATACTTTGAAGTTTTTAAACTATTTTAAAATAAATTTGAAATTTTTAATAATCTGTGGGTTATTGCCAATCTGTGGGGGTGTGTGGTTGAGCTGGAATGGGACGATCGTTGTCGACAACGGCGGTAGTTGTAGATCTAAATAGGGAACGACAGGGCCTTTCTGTTGATTCATTGAAGTTATCTAAAAACTAATTAATACTTCATAATTAGTAAACTCCTCGTGAATCGGATGAGAAACAAGAAAATCAATCAAACGTTACGTTTTATCAATGGATTCATTCATAAACTAGTGATGAATACAAACCAGGAGTTGTGTTGAGGGCATACAATGTACGTAAGGTATATGCAGTTAACGGTATCATAAGTTCCACAAAAGTGATTCAATTTACTGATTACATCTTGTGTTTATCATTCATTATTACATAATAAAAATTCATTAATGTAATAAAATAATTTATCAATAAGTATCCGTGTATTTATATAAAGATGTGACTGCTATTAAAAATGGCGTGAAATGATGATTCAATACGGTTACCATATTATTTAATAAAAAATTTATTATTTTGAAATAAATAATCAAGGGAAATAAAATTCATATGTTTTATAACACAAATATAGCATATAAATACTATTATTGTTATTATGCAGTCCTTTGGACCAAATATTTGTAAAACTATTTATTATCTCAATAAAAAAAAATTTTTGTAAAATAAATTTTAATGTTTTTTGTGAATGAAAGAAAGTTTATTTAAGAAACTGAAATATTTGTACTATTTTTAGTGAATTTCATGTAAATGAAATAAAACGATAGTTTTTTTAAACTATCAAGAAATAATATTTTATTTTAAATCTTCATTTTTGTTGAATATAATTGTAAAATCGGAATTAATGTTTATATACAGTATTTTACTACTGTTGATGTCAATGAAAATCAATGAAATAAATTTTTAATTCTTTATATTAGTTGATACATTGATTAAAATAAACTTTATTTAAATTACAAAATAAATATTAAAATCACACCAAAGTGTGGACTAAAAATACAAATCTATAAAATAGATGCATAAAGTGATTTTGATTGAGCAATAGCTCAATGGCTGGTCCGCATCCGAGAGCGCATTAACGCTCTGTGCTTTTGTTGTATCAATTGCTGGGCGTTTTGCTCTGGGCTTTCACTCGGCATCTGTGAATCATCCGCTCCGGTCGGTTGGCTCAGGCTTTTAGCAGCCGATAGATACAGTCGATGGAGCTGAGGGCGAGTCTTCCTATCCGTTGCAGCGGATCAATCCTAGGAGGCTGTTCATGAGGTGACATGATTTTCATATGAGTCCTGACATGCATTTGCAGCCACTTTTATAGCCCACTTTTTGACCATTTCATCCATATATCGAGGGGTGAACTGAACGTTAGCGTCCGCGCAATTGTAGTCCATTTCCATCATTCATAGTATTAATATTGATGTTCGCCCCTCTATTACATAACATCTCAT